AGCACCTCCTCTCCCTCCTTCTTTACTGACCTTGGTGACTGCAGAGTTGCTTCTTTCATGTATTCTTACTGCTGACAGTGTTAAACTGGTACTTCTTAAATATGTTTCCAGGGGTGCTACCACCAGCATTGATGGACTAGGCCTTGGACAGTGGTGGCTCTATCTCCGAGCCAGCTGGCATTGGCTCTGTCACACACAGGAAAAGCTTCCATCATTCTCCCATAGAAGCCACCCCTGTAGCCTCCCCATTACCAAGCCCTACCCTGCAAACCCAGTACAATATTTTAGCCATTTTGCCTCAGACATTATGTTAGCACTTCAGAAATATGTTCTGCCTTGAATGTACTGAGTTAAGATGAAGAATATTTCTTGGCAATTATGATTACTTTGTTAATACAACAAATGTAAATAATTATCAATATTATTTACCATCTAGTCAGCACCAACGAAAAGCACATAAATGTAAAGACCGTGTCTAGTCTCCAGTCACCTTTCTGGTCAGCATTACTAGTTAGGCTGAAATGTTCTATTCAGATCCAACTTTAAAGAATGCTGTTAGCCTTCAAGAAGTATTTTATTACTGTAGCATCACCAAGTCCCATGATATTACTGCTGCTTGGTTTTCTTTTTCCCATGGAGATTGGCAGGAGAATTGTTTTGGACATTAATTGCAATTTTCTGGTTGTCATTTGAGCGCAGAAAGAGTCGTAGCCTGTGTGTAGGAACTATATAGGGGTATTTGCTGTGAGAACACCTCCACGTAGCAATGTGTGGTTTGCAATATCTTTTTAATGACAGGTTTTTTTTACAGAATATAGAAGTGAGTTTCTTCCCGTGAGGAAGTGCTTACAGTTCTGGTTCATGGAGATCTCCCCTCACCAACATTTTCTGGTTTTCTTTTGTTTTTTTTTTTTGTTTTTTTTTTTGTTTTTTTTAATCCTGCTGCTTGTATGTACTACTTTCTGTACTTAAAACATAGAGATCATCCATAACACTGGCACACCCAGCAACAAGAAGTCAGCCATCAGTTAGCCATGGGCTGATTTCAGGGACACCAGATCACCCGATTTTCCTATAAATAGTAATGTTTCTAAGAGTGATGAACTACACATTTTACCTCCTTTTACTCCTCAGGAAATGTGATTTTGGGCTTTGATTACTAGGATCTCTTTGAGAGCAGCGGTAGCAGCCTTCTGGACTTTGGTAATTGTGGATCTCTGATCCACAATTTTTAAAGTATAAAATAAATGGAAACTGTAATACAGCATTTTTCCAGCATAGCATTGCATGCAGTTATGAAACATCTTGAGATATTTTATCTGTTCAGCTCTGCTGGTATTTAACATACCAATATTTATATAGTTCAGCTTTAGTTTTAATTTCTCTCATGTCTCTTTACTTCTGAAAAGCTTTGCACTTCTGTGTAACAGAAGTTAGTAATGCCACCTGAAAAATATGTCATGCTTAAAACAAGAGGATGAAGATGCTAATTCCACTAGGGTTAGTAGAGGTCTTGCCATGAACTATGTTGAGATCAGGTTTTCATTTATTGCATTGCTTACCACATAATGCATAACTAATCATTATGTGCTGGGGAGATGTCACAAATCCTAAGTTACGTAAGTATATTTTTAGTTTTTAAATAACACTTATCTTTTGACAGTAATTTTTATTTTTATATCTGTCCTTAAAACTACCTCTTGTGGGTAGAAAAATAATACTCATTTAAATGACATTTTGGTAACAGTATAAATTTTCACCATTAATTATGTATTTTTGCAATTATGAAATTATGTACTCAAAATTCCTTCTTTCCTTTCTGTGTCTGGAGGCTGTCTACGTGGCTTTCCATTTATGGGCCGTACTGAATGCAGAATACAACCATGTGCATATATAAACCAGTCATATTGAGTTTCTGCCTAATCTCCCAGCTTATGTTATTGATTCTCTGTGCTATGGAGTCTCTAAAATTCTCAAGAGAAAAAAAAAAAAAAAAAAGAAACCTTAAAGCAAAGGCCAGTGAGTTTGAAAGATTTTGTAGCGGGATCAGCAGCACAATATATTTCGGCCACCAATCTAAAAGTAAAAGCAGAATTGCAACTGATTAAGAAGTAAACATTCGATTGCCCAGAAAATGCAGCCCCTCTTCAGTGCCATTTAAGGAATTCATTATTCAGTCCCAGATGCAGTGTGTTTTAACTTATCAGCAACTGCTGAAAAAACCTCCAGGGAAATGTAATTTTTTGATTTCTATCAGTGTGCTCAGCTTCGATTACTTTGGAAGATAGGATCTTATTCTAAGATGTTTAAGTCTATGATTAGATTTTGGCACCCCTGCTTATACTGAATAGCATTAGTCAGGGCTGAGCTGCTGCTCATTCAGGTCAGATAGATCAGAATTAGTCATCAATTGAGCTGGTGGTATTTATGTAGACCCATGACGGTGACTCAAACCTCTTACCATAAGGCAGTGGTGCAAATGTTTTTCTGTATCTCTCTTTTATATGAGTACCATAAAAAAGCCTTCAGCTAAAAAAAAAGTGTTTTAAGGAGGAAACAGAACGAATTAAACTGTTTGGCATATGAAGGAGCAGTAGGGATTATATACAGAACTGATAGGATGGAAGAAGGCCTTGTTTTCCAAACATGGTCCTAAGAAACAAACCTGAAAGTTTGGCAGGTTTTCACTGGACTGCCAATAGCTGAGCAATGATTAGTCTGCCTTTTTAAAATGTAGTCTCCTGCCAACCCCCAATCCCCTCCTCCCATTTCCAGTGCAGCATTCAGCCTGCAGGATAAGTAGATGATGAGGTACACAGTTGTGGTGTGGAAGGGATTCAAACAATCTGAATGAGATTTTGATCTTCTGGGACTTCTGTGATACAGCGAATGAAGAGGACGAAAGACAAACTGGTCTTCGTTTGCAGAAAAGGCTTTCATCTCTTATGTGCTGTGTGACTATGGCTGAGGAGAGAGGAGGGGAGCTGTCTTCCTGCTTATATCAAATTGCTAGGCCTTTAATTTTGACCAGATGCACCATGCAATTATGGCAACTGATGGATAGTTATAAATTAATTAGATTTTGGCAAACAACTTTATTTCAAGTAAGATCAGCATCACAGAAGATACAGGAGAGCAAATTTTGTGATGGGGTCAGTGCATTTTTTAAATGCTTAGATTTCTTGCCAGAATAAAAGGACGCATTAGTGCAAAGAGGCAAAATATCCTAATTTCTAAGCATACCTCTGGAATAGACGCCTTGCTGCTCTTCCCACAGAGCAAGGAGGACTAAATACCAATGGGCAGTCTGAATCTTGCCTCTGTTCACTGAACTTTCCTTTTTGCTGTTCATATTGGGGTTATAGGTAGCATTCCTGTCACGGCCACCACGTTCCCCACACTAATTGTCATGAAGTACAGAAGGTTCAAGCATGCTTGGTTCCCAAGGCTGCTAATGAGCCCTGAGCTCTCCTCACCCTTAATGAACCAAGGTTTGTTTGGGGGGGATTCTTGTCCATCCCTCCTTTCCCCTGCTCAGGGGAGGAGGCAAGCTTTCACACAACCAAACAATGACTTTACAGTGTAAAGACGATGCAGCTGTGCCATCAGAAGCCATCCTCAGTTATGAGCAACAAAGCTTAAATAGATTGTACTGTGAAGAGGTACAGCTCTGTGAGTGTGAAGCATAGCTTTTGCTTCTGCTTCACTGACCCGTCTGCTTGCGGCGGTGATGGGCCCTTGATGGGAGCTCAGGCAGGGAGAGCTGCGCAGGTCGACTCTTTCAGAACCACTCTTTGTGATGCTGAGCGCAGGAAAGGAGCCAAAATGAAGGTCCTGGTGATCTCTGATGGCAGTGTACTGCTGTGTTCCCCAGAAAATCCCGTGTCCTCCATTTAAAAGTCATTGATTCCTAACGCACTGCAGGTTATTAATAAGGCCACTAAAGCAAACAGTAGTTCATAAGTTTTAGCAGTAGAGTATTCACACAAAAGTAGATGCACACATACACAAACTCCTCCTAGGCAAATCACACATTTCACTGTCTCACTGCGTTTTACTATCTTACTCTTCAGAGGCTTTTCTTGTACCAAAGGCTAGGATCATCAGAAATTTGGGCTAAACTACTATTTAACATTTACTTCATGCACCTCCCTTTAAGCATTTCAACTACAACACTGCATGATCCTCTAGCTTTATTTATCTTACTAAAATCATGTATATAATACATTTTTGGGCATATATATGCAGGCACATATACACAAAAGTTACAGGTACATTTAAATACTGTTACATAGTCTCTTGAAATACATAGCAGTATATTAGTATATGATATATGATATATGTAGCATACATATATGTAAACTATCACATGCTTTCCTAGAAACATGATTCCTTGTGTGTATTCAGATGCGTATTTATACAAACAAACACAGACATGCACTCTAGATGCTGTGCTGTTTACCATAATAGTACATGAAAATTTCAATCTGATAAAATAACTCTGCTAATTGTACTAGCAATTGTAAAGCTGTCAGTTATAATAGTCTGGACTAATCCCTACACAATGCTATATAAAGGTGAAGTTTTTTTAAAAAGTTTTGCAGCTAGATGAGCAAAGCCAAAAACAGCATCTGCAGAAGAAATCTGATTTTGCTATAATAGGCTGTTTGAAGGTCATCCTTTTGGGTTTTAATAATGCACAGAAACATCTGCTGTTTTCCTCAACTGCATGAGAAAGGGAGAGAGAAAGAAATTAAGAAGGAGCTTTTGTTTTGCATTCTTAAGTGAACAGAGGAAGGGAGGGAGGGAAGGAGGGAAAGATAAAGCAGTCCAGTGTTAAATACCTTGATGAGTGCATGTGCAGGTTCAAAACTTTAGATTGCTCTGCTGCCTGGCGTGGTTGAGTTGATAACCCCGGGAGCCATGGCGAAAGTTGACAACCCCCCACAGCTGACCCCTCATCTTCTCTTGTGCCTAATCGAATTTTACATGTGTTTCCAGATAGCTGATCAGCTTCCCTGGATTTTGCTGACACCACAGGAAAGCTTTGCCTGAAGATGGAAACACTGGAGTCGGAACTGACCTGCCCTATCTGTCTGGAGCTGTTTGAAGACCCGCTGCTGCTGCCTTGCGCTCACAGCCTCTGCTTCAACTGCGCGCACCGCATCCTGGTCTCCCACTGCGCCACCAACGAGCCGGTGGAGTCTATCACCGCCTTCCAGTGCCCAACCTGCCGCTATGTCATCACGCTCAGCCAGCGTGGTCTAGACGGGCTCAAGCGCAACGTCACCCTGCAGAACATCATCGACAGGTTTCAGAAAGCCTCGGTCAGCGGGCCCAATTCCCCCAGCGAGACCCGCCGGGAGCAGGCATTCGACAGCAACAGCATGTCGTCCTGCGAGAAGGTCCTCTGCCAGTTCTGCGACCAGGACCCTGCCCAGGAGGCAGTGAAAACCTGTGTTACCTGTGAGGTGTCCTACTGCGAGGAGTGCCTGAAAGCCACGCACCCCAACAAGAAGCCGTTCACAGGCCACCGTCTCATCGAGCCCATCCCGGACTCTCACATCAGAGGATTAATGTGCCTGGAGCATGAGGATGAGAAAGTTAACATGTACTGCGTGACTGATGACCAGCTCATCTGTGCCTTGTGTAAACTGGTTGGGCGACACCGTGACCATCAAGTGGCAGCTTTAAGTGAGCGCTACGACAAGCTAAAGGTTAGTGCTTTCTCTCATCCTCTAAGCAGCATGTGGTTGGGAAGGTTGCAGCCCTTTGGCTGCATCCTGAATTCCTCATTTTGGCAGGGGTTGGGAAAAGTAGGTGTGCAGTCTCTAACTGGATGAGATACGCATACAGATCTAGATGTGCGTTTGCTTGTCACCATTGAAAAGTTGTTAAATATTGCTTAAGGAAAGTTGTGCTTTGATTTCTCTGTAGCTACTGTAAGGAATATGCAGCATATACTATTGTTCAGGTGAATTTTTTTACCTACCTACAACTTTATTCATGGCAGCTGACAAGGTTTAGTGCTGACTGCACAGACACAGGCACTGTCTGAAATGTTAGGCAGCCTTTGCATACACCCTGCTGTTGATTATTTTTCATTTAATAGCTTTCATTGTGAAAAGTCCTTTGCAGTGTTGCTAACATTTCTCTGTGCTGGCTTCAGGGATGCCAGCTGCCTATCCAGCCAGGGAAACCAAACGCCAGTTACACTCTTCCCACACTACCTCCTACCTGGGCTTGCAGGTGATGCAGTCCTGGAAACAAACCCATAATTGTTTCTGAGATTCTTGTGGCATTCCTAAGAGCTGTGAGGAATCTGTGAGCTCCCAACACGTCTCCTTACAAGTATCCAGCCAGCTCTGGCAGCCCCCTGACCCCATGCAGGACACACTGAGTGGTGTGGCAGTGGCTGGCCAGGTTACAGGGTGCTCTGGCAGCTCTCCAGGCTTCTGGCAGAGGCAGAGCTCCTGCAGAACAGCGAGGCCATGGCGTGTGGCCTCCCACCCACCTTCATGTACATTCCTCTGACACTGATTTAGGTGCTGCTGCAGAGCAAAGACAGGAATTAAGGACCCCACACTTTCCTCCACCCACTCTTTCTTGACTGTCTACATGTGCCTATCTGTGCCTGTGGGTGGATTTTTTTTAAAGGACTGCAATTGAGAAACCACAAGTGCAGAGGGCAAAGATTATTTGTCAGCCTTCTCACTCAGAAATGCAGAGAAAAAAGAAAATGAACTAAAAGATTTAACTAATTGGAAGGATTTTCTTAAGCGCCTTCAAACAAAAGTATGTGGTTACACACGTCTGGGATAACTTCATGGAAGTGCAGGTGAAACCTGCATACACACGGTCTGTGGGTTTTGTGCCTCTATGCATGTGCCAATATACAGACCATACTCTATTAGTATTTTCACATAATGAAAGACACTTTTTTACCTGCAAGTCATAGCTTCTTTTCATCTCTTAAAGACTTATTTACCAAGGAGGAGTTGTTATTTTTGCCTTTGTTTTTCTTTTTCCTAAACTGGTTTGTTATTTTAATAGGTTAATTTTTAGCCATTGATAAAAGGGGTCATGAACTACAACTGTTAATAGAAAGTGCCTGGATTTACAGCACTTTTCAATAATCCAGTGGGTTTATATCCTTAGCAGGTGCTACTACTTAGTAATCTATCAGTGATTGAACAATTGTATTGTTTTAAGTAGGAATGCACTGGCTAAAATGAAATACCTTTAGAATTAGATACTGGGTAAGTCTATTTTGAGGATGTCAACAGATATTAAACATTTCTTACTATTGGTGTACTTAGCAAAGGCAAATCTTGAAAGGCTTTAAAAGGAATGTGTCTTCTCCTGAGATCTTTGACTTCGTATTGTAGATAGGAAAAAAATATTGCGGGTATTTTTGCATGATCTCTGGCTTTTTTGTGCCAAGATGCCTAAACAAACTGTGGATGGGTAGCTAAAGTAAGAAACATTGACCTTAGATGTTACACAATTTAGCTACCTCGGCAGAAGCTTAGTAAAGTGTTTTCTGCCAGCCACCTCAGAGAGTAATTCAAGTGCTAATTTAATGGTTAGTGTAAGTCTGGGTTAAATAACTCTCTTCTTATAATGGCAACTCCAGTCATTGTCATTGTTTATAATATCTGTACAATATTTTTTTTTTTTTGACATGTGGACTTTTCTTTGTACCCAAACAATCTAGAATTACTTTACCCAGATAATTATTAACCTACATGAAGTCCTGTTGCTATCAGGAGGTAGCCTGTTTCACTTTGCTAATGCCAGCAATGACAGCAGTCATGCCAGTTATGCCAATTGTTATGAGAAGTTTATATTCTGCGCCCAGGAACTAGGCTAGATGGTTTTTATCAAAATCCAGAGTCTGTTCTCTGTTCACAAGAAGGTAACCTGAAACTATGCCTTTCCTCATTGCCTCTTCCACCTCAGAAATTTGTGCTATTTTATTTATAAAACTCCAAGAATGAGATTTTCAGTTCCATAGGTTGGCATGATAAATGCCTCATGAGTAAGGGAATAATACCTGTTCACACTAGCATTTGTTTGCTGAGAGGCAAAAATTTCAGGTCCATTTTCACATTCAGGTCTCCTCGTTCATAAATGGTGACAGGACCTCTTGAGTCACTGGTCAGGCTGCTGAAGTAAATCCTAGGTATGAGATTGCATATGGTCTTTGCTAACTTACAGAAAGTGTGCATGTGCCCTTCAAAAATTAAATGTTCAGGTGGATCAGAAAATCCTCACCTGAAAAACAGGTTGTTACTTGCTATACTGCTGCTGCAGGTTTTGAAAATACATGGGGTTTGATAGGTTACAAAAAATCTTTTTTAAAAGTTCTAAATGAATGAGCATGCAACAGCCAATAGTATAGTGAATTCATTCAAGAGTGATTCATTGTATTTAAAAAAAAAAAGGCAAGAGTACTCTAAGTGGTTTCTTGTGATTTTTGTTTTAAATCAACACGTTGTTGATGCTAACAATAGCAACGGGTGTTGCTCTGGGTGTCAAGCTATGCTAATTACTTGCATTCTTTTCCAGCGTTGTTACTAATTATTTAAACAATATCTCACCCTTCATTAAACATAGGACAAAAGATGCCATTACAATCTAGCTCCTTTTGTGGCAAAAATGAAACCTCTTAATTAGGAGTTCTATACACTCATTCAACAGAAAGGTCTATGCTGGAAATGTGTTTACCAGTCAATGTAATCACAGTTGTGGACATCTGGAAAAGAAAGTGTTCGCCTTTGGCAGCTATGGCTCCAACCCTGAGAGATGTTTTTCTTTCTCAAATTATACTGGGGTAGAGGGAGTTGAGGGTATTTGTATTCTTCCGGGAGTGGTCCTTTCTTCCTTAGTTTTAGATCATAGACAGGTGCATGTTAAAAATAGAAAAATAATAAACCATGATCAAAACAGAGAACAGAAAATATCCTGGTGATACGCTGAATTTATAAGGTGGTTGTCAAAAAGGTGATATAATTTAGAAACAGGTTTTAGCTACATTAGACAATGAGACCTCAGCTCACCATATTACCTCAAAGAAAATATTTATGGCTAATTACTTTTGATATGGATTCTTTGCTTTTCCTCTTGTTGCAATAGAAAGAAAAAGTTGATTGAAAAATACGTTCATTTTTTTTTCAGGGAAAATTCATTAAATTACCATTATTCTGTAGATATATTTATGCTCAATAAAGTGATAAGAAAAATGACAATATAAGATTTATTTTGGACAAAAGAGAATATTTTGGGAAGAAGTTACAAGGCGTGGATGGAAAGATGTCACTCATTTAATATTAGCAAAGAACCATGAAGAGGTGTTACAAAAGAGGAAGATAGGCCGTAACCTGTATTTTTAAATTATGTAAAGCCAGCATAACTCCATTGGAACCAATGTTTTTATTCACATTCACATTAACTGAGAATCTGAACCCTGATGCATATACTCTTGCTGAACCAATTTTGGCAGGTTTTTGTAGTGCTTGGTCAAGCAAGATCTTTTGTTGAATTGAACTGCTGTAGGTTAGCTGTGCTTCCCCATGATTTTGTTTGAATTTTATTAGTGCTGATGTGTATTGAGCATGTTTATGAAGGCAGGGCAGTCTTCTGAATGGCACTTGGCAATTCCAGGAACAAAAGGGAGCTCCTTTTTTGTGTGCTTTTCACCTAGTTTTAGCGGCAGAATTTAGTGGCACTTAACTTTCCTACACTGTTGATTCAGGATGCAGGAATTCAGTTTTCTCTGTGCGTCAGTTGAATTACTCACAAATATTTTTTTGGTAGGAAGTGGCCATAAACTGTTTCCACATAAGGACAATTGCATTCAGCTCTTATAAACCTACATTGTAAAGGTAGGAGACTATGTCAAGTCCACAGCTTCTATAAAAATAGAGTGCGGAAATATGTCTGCTTCTGTTATTTATATTATGAATTAGAAAAACTTTTCATATTTAAATTTCTTTGCAGAAGTACTGGCAAAATGCATATTGAAGCTTTCCAGCTATTTTTATTTGGTGTTATTTTGTAGTTGCAGCTTGATCATTAACTGCTATAATGTTGATTCCATAAGAACCCAGCACTTAAAAATCGATATTTGTACAAACAGTGGGGTTGACAATTCAAGAACATTGGTTTCTGGACTTACATATAAATATATTATGCATGTACATAGAAATATGTGTCTATACACATAATTTTGTGTGCATATTTGCAGTGCTTGTATTAGTACCTAAAGGCAATACTACGTTTGTATGTAGACTTGTTTGTCTAGCATAGAAATACATGTAATTTCTAGTAATGTCTAAGTTCGTGATGATCTAGCAACTTGAATTTTAATAAATTTATTTTAAGAAAATATATATGGTTTCATATATATGCATAGGTCAGTAAAAATATATTTGACCATGTTTATATATAAACTACACATTCATTGTTTTAGTTGGTATCCATTTTTAATATTTCATGCATATATGTTTTTTCAGTAGCTGAATGTTTTAATATCTAAATTTATAGTTTTCCTGTGTACCTATAACTTTACTAACCTCCTATTTAATGGAAGCTATTTAACAACAAAAAAAATCCAACTGATGTGTAAAGTCACAGTATGCCAATGCTATAGTGATAAGTGTTAACAAACATTTAGATAAGGGGCATTTGTCCTTAGCTTGTACTTAATAGATTC